GTGATCCACTCGCCTTGGCCTCCCAAAGTGCTGGGACTATAGGCATGAGCCACCACACCTGGCCAAAATTGGAGGTTTTATAAAAAAAGGAAAAAATATCGTGCATTGTCTTGAAAGAAAGTTCATTGACACTAGTGAGTTTTGAGGAGCTGGCAAGCTCTGATGGATGAGTGACAGCGGTGAGTAACGCCAACCATAGAGTCCCAGCAGGTTGTTTCAGTAGCTATTAGACAAATAGGGTTTCAGGTGACAGCAGGCAATTTCTGCAGCCAGGCTTGCAGAGAATTACATTCCCGGAGCAATGTTATGCACCCTGAGTGCTTTCTACCTTGGTCTCTCTATTCTGTTTTTATTGAGCACGACAAGAATGACTCCATTTGTAGGATCTCCTTTCACAAAACTACATGAAAGAGATGTAATGTCATAAATGTTAACCATTTGTGTATTATATGCCTTAAAACATATTTTTCCTCAAATTCTGGCCCTTGAGTTTGTAGCTTTCCTAGGAATTTCTAATTCTTATATAGGAAAAAGTTTCAGTCTTTTCCTTTGTGATATTTGATTTTTGTGCCAGGTTCCGGAAGGTGTTACCTGTACCAAGAATACACAGCAATATGATGTTACCTTTTTAGGTGATTTTAACAATTAACCTTTCCTCTACCCAGAATGACTGGGTGTGGTGGCTCACACCTGTAATCTCAGCACTTTGGGAGGCTGAGGAGGGCAGATCACTTGAATTCAGGAGTTCAAGCCCAGCCTGGCCAACATGGGAAAATGCCATCTCTAATAAAAACACACACACACACACACACACACAAATTAGCCAGCCATGATGGCAGGTGCCTGTAATCCCAGGCTGAAGCAGGAGAGTCACTTGATCCAGGGAGGGAGAGGTTGCAGTGAGTCGAGATTGCACTACTGCACTCCAGCCTGGATGACAGAGCGAGACTCTATCTCAAAATAGATAAATAAATAAACAACACCCCCCCAAACTACCCAGAATATATCTTTAAGTGTGCATAATATGGGGGGGTTAGATCATTTTTAAATGCCCCCAAATTATTTGTTGAGTAATCTTGTCTGCATATAGGTCTATTCATAAGCTCTCCAGTATAGTCTACTGGTCTGTCAGTTTTTTTTTTTTTTAAATTAATTAATTAATTAATTAATTATTATTATTATTATACTTTAAGTTCTAGGGTACATGTGCATAATGTGCAGGTTTGTTACATATGTATACTTGTGCCATGTTGCTGTGCTGCACCCATCAACTCGTCAGCACTCATCAACTCGTCATTTACATCAGGTATAACTCCCAATGCAATCCCTCCCCCCTCCCCCCTCCCCATGATAGGCCCCGGTGTGTGATGTTCCCCTTCCCGAGTCCAAGTGATCTCATTGTTCAGTTCCCACCTATGAGTGAGAACATGCGGTGTTTGGTTTTCTGTTCTTGTGATAGTTTGCTAAGAATGATATTGCGGCACTATTCACAATAGCAAAGACTTGGAATCAACCCAAATGTCCATCAGTGACAGACTGGATTAAGAAAATGTGGCACATATACACCATGGAATACTATGCAGCCATAAAAAAGGATGAGTTTGTGTCCTTTGTAGGGACATGGATGCAGCTGGTCTGTCAGTTCTTAAGTCACCTCTCATCTACTTAATTATTGTAGCTTTTATGATAGTTCGATAACTGAAGAGGAATTCCTGATTCATTATTCTCCATTTCTGAACTTTTCTTCAGTTTTCTAGATTGATTTTTGAATGAACTGATTATGCTTCTCAAAATTATTTTGTTGGAAATTTCATTGAAATTGCGGTGAATATATGGTACCAAATGACATGCACCAGTAATGCTTCCCAGTACTTAAGAAATGAGCTGGGAACTGGGCACGACAAAACCCTGTCTCTACTAAAAATACAAAACTATTGCATTAGGAGAGTGGGTGCTAAGTCTAGTTCCCTGCTGTAATCATTAGAAAAAAATTAAAGGCCCGCAGTCTATAAAGTCAATTAACATTTTTTCCCTTTTCCTTAGGAAAAAATGCTCTGCTTAGATTGCCAATAACGTGAGGTTAATTGTCATATTTCCTGTCTGTAAATTAGTAAGTTGACATTCTGGTTTCATACCAGAATTGAGGTTTCATACCTTAACATCTGAGTTTGGTTATACATTGACATCCCCTCCTCAAATATAATAATTTCTGTTCAACTGTAGAGGTTAGCGTCTTGTCAATCATGGTTGAAAAATGTGTGATCAAATAAATAGATGTCCTTTTAGAAAAATGAGGGTGCTTGAGAGAGAACCACATGAACATATAAAAGCCTTTATAGATTTTTTTCTTTATGAAAATATAGGCTGGCACAGTGGCTCACACCTGTAATCCCAGCACTTTGGGAGGCCAAGGTGGGTGGATCACCTGTCAAGAGTTCAAGACCAGTCTGGCTAACATGGTGAAACCCTGTCTCTACTAAAAATACAAAAATTAGCCAGATGTAGTGGCAGTCGCCTGTAATCCCACCTACTCAGGAGGCTGAGGCAGGAGAATTGCTTGAACCCAGGAGGTGGAGGTTGCAGTGAGCCGAGATCGTGCCGTTGCACTCTGGTGTGGGGGATAAGAGCAAGACTTCTCTCAAGAAAAAAAAAAAAAAAAGAAAACATAATAATATTGATCAGTAACTAAGAATAGTATTAACATTTTAGCAATATATAGTAACAATTAGATGCCTTTATACATTTTTTCCTTTATGAAAGTAAAATAATATTGATCAATAACTGAGAATAGTATTAATAACATTTTAATACTCTATAAAAACAATGAGACACTGCATTTTTCATTTCTCATCTCTCTGAAGCCTTTCAGGACTTTTGTTTTTTAGACAGTCTTGCTCTGTTGCCAGGCTGAAGTGCAGTGGTATAATCTCAGCTCACTGCAACCTCTGCATCCTGGGTTCAAACAATTCTCCTGCCTTAGCCTCCTGAGTAGCTGCGATTACAGGCACATGTCACCAAGGCCCGCTAATGTTTTTGTATTTTCAGTAGAGATGGGATTTCCCCATGTTGACCGGGATGGTCTCAATCTCCTGACCTCATGACCTACCTGCCTTGGCCTCCCAAAGTGCTGGGATTACCAGCGTGAGCCACTGAGCCCGGCCATGACATACTGTTTGTGTCAGTTCATTTCATTTTAAATCATTTCAGTGATTTCCTCAAATTCATTTATTGAGTCTATGGGTGCAAATCAAGCTTTCAAATAATAGAATGCAAGGGACATTAGAACAGCCATTAGGTGAATTCTATTTACATTATTAAGTATTTTTCTTTTTGATGACTAAGGAAAAAGGCTGAGAATGCTGGACTCTTCATGGTGTCAGGTCTCTGCAGGCGAGATAGGCTATCAATAAATGACAACAGTGACAGAAACTCTAACCACAAAAATCATCACTCCCACATGTGCTGGCTCTGTCCTACTAAGCACTCATGACTCATGTGCATTATATGCTTTCATTGATCCTCAATAAGACACATTAAAGCTTTTTTTTCTTCTTTTCTTCAGTCACCCAGACTGGAGGGCAGTGGCACAATCTCAGTTCACTGCAACTTCCGCCTCCCGGGCCCAAGCAATTCTCCTGCCTCAGCCTCCTGAGTAGCTGGGATTACAGGCCCCAAATACCATGCCCAGGTAATTTTTGTATTTCAGTAGAGATGGGGTTTCACTATGTTGGTCAGGCTGGTCTAGTACTCCTGACCTCAAGTGATCTGCCCGCCTCAGCCTTCCAAAGTGCTGGGTTTACAGATGTGAGCCACTGTGCCCAGCGTTTTTTTTTTTTTTTTTTTTTTTTTGAGACAGGGTCTTACTCTGTTGCCTAGGCTGGAGTGCAGTGACGCAATCATAGCTCACTGCAGCCTTGAACTGTTAGGCTCAAGCCATCCCCCCACCTCAGCCTCCTTTGTAGCTGGGACTACAGGTGCATGCCACAATGCCCAGCTAATTTTTTATGGTTTTAGTAGTGATAGGGTTTCACCATGTTGGCCAGGCTGGTTACCAACTCCTGACCTCAGGTGATCTGCCTACCTCGGCCTCCCAAAGTGTTGGGATTACAGGCATGAGTCACCATGCCTGACCATATTTATTTTTTAGTTAAAAAATTGTTTTTTAATATAAAGGAGGGGTCTCAAAATGCTGCCCAGGGTGGTCTCAACCTCCTCGGTTCAAGTGATCCTCCTGCCTTGGCCTCCAAAAGTGTTGGGATTACAGGCATGAGCAACCGTTCCCAGCCCATAGTTTTGTTTCTTTGTTTGTTTATGTATTTTTTTGTGACAGGGTCTCTCACTATTACCCAAGCTGGAGTGCAGTGGCTACTCACTGCAGCCAAAACCTACGGGGCTCATGTGATCCTCCCACCTCAGTCTCCTGAGGACCTGGGATGACAAGTGTGTGCCACCAAGCCTGACTAATTTTTACAATTTTTTGCAGAGACCAGGTTTCACTGTGTTGCCCAGGGTGATCTTGAACTTCTGGGCTCAAGCAATCCTCCTCTTGCCTTAGCCTCCTCCAGTGTTGACCCATAGTTTTAAGTAGTAACTCCTTTTCTGTACTTCTGAAGTTTTTATCATCTATGTGTAGTGATGTCACAAGAATCTGATTAAAGTATAGATTATTTTCATAATTCTAGGAAACCAGATATTAAATAATAAACTTATTCTAGGAGTTTAGTTTACATAGTGTGTGTGTATATATATATATATAGTGTGTGTGTGTGAGAGCATTTTAAAATGTTATATACATATACGCCAGATCATAGGATTATCAGGAGTTGAATGAATTATTTAAAATATGTTAGGCTGGGCACAGTGCCTCATACCTGTAATCCCAGCACTTTGGGAAGCTAAGCCTAGTAGATTGCTTGAGCTCAGGAGTTTGAGACCAGTACGGGCAACATGACAAAACCCCATTTGTAAATATTTATAAAAGATAAAGGCCAGGGGGAAGGGGTGGCTGGAGCCATGTCCGGCCGCAAAGGTGGCAGGAAGAAGCCCCTGATGCAGCCCAAGAAACAGGCCAAGGAGATGGATGAGGAAGACAAGGCTTTCAAGCAGAAACAAAAAGAGGAGCAGAAGAAATTCGAGGAACTGAAAGTGAAGGCCGTAGGGAAGGGGCCCATGGCCACAGGTGGAATTAAGAAATCTGGCAAGGTGGGGTGCGGTGACTCACACCTGTAATCCCAGCACTTTGGGAGGCTGAGGTGGGTGGATCACGAGGTCAGCAGATTGAGACCGTCCTGGCTAACACGGTGAAACCCCATCTCTACTAAAAATGCAAAAAATTAGCTGGACATGGTGGCGGGGGCCTGTAGTCCCAGCTACTCGGGAGGATGAGGCAGGAGAATGGTGTGAACCCGGGAGGCAGAGTTTGCAGTGAGCCAAGTTCCGGCCACCACGCTCCAGCCTGGGTGACAGAGCGAGACTCTGTCTCGGGGGAAAAAAAAAAAAAAAAAAAAAAAAAAAAATATCTGGCAAAAAGCGAGCTGTTCCTTGTGCCTGAAGAAATGGTGACCCTTTATTTCATCCATATTTAAACATCTATCTGTATTCCCTGCCATAACATCTTTTGCCACTTATAGCTGAAATTAAGCATTGTCTTGGAGTTGTTGTACATTTAAGAGTAAACTCTTGTAAAATAAATAAATAAAGGCCAGGTGTGGTGGCTCATGCCTGTAATCTCAGTACTTTGGGAAGTCAAAGTGGTACATCGCTTGAGGTCAGGAGTTTGACCAGCCTGGCAACATGGGGAAACTCCATCTCTACTTAAAAAAAAAAAATACAACAATTAGCCAGGTGTGGTGGCGGTCGCCTATAGTCCCAGCTACTCGAGAGGCTGAGGCAGGAGAATTGACTGAACCCAGGGGGTGGAGGTTGCAGTGAGCCAAGGTCGCCCACTGCACTCCAGCCTGGGTGACAGAGGGAGACTCCTTCTCAAAAAATAATTAAAAAAAAAACAAACACAAAAATAAGAAATATGTTGGGCCAAGAGTAGTGGCTCCTGCCTGTAATTCCAGCACTTTGGGAGGCCGCAGTGGGTGGATCATGAGGTCAAAAGATCAAGATTATCCTGGCCAACATGGTGAAACCCTGTTTCTACTAAAAATACAAAAATTAGCTGGATGTGGTGGCACGTGCCTGTAATCCCAGCTACATGAGAGGCTGAGGCAGGAGAATCTCTTAAACCCAGGAGGCAGAGGTTGCAGTGAGCTGAGATCATGCCACTGCACTCCAGCCTGGGCAACAGAGCAAGACTCCATCTCAAAAAAAAAAAAAATTAAATGTTTAGAATAGCTTGGCATACTATATTTTGTCTGTTTTTACTTTTTTTTTTTTTCTTTGAGACAAGGTCTTGCTCAGTCGCCCAGGCTGGAGTGTAGTGGTATAATCATGGCTCACTACAGCCTTGACCTCCCTGAACAGTTGATCTTTTACCTCAGCCCCCCAAATAGCTGGGACCACAAGTGTGCACCACCAAACCTGCCTAATTTTTATATTTTTTGTAGGGATGAGGTTTCGCCAAGTTACCCCATGCTGGTCTCAAACTCCTGGGCTCAAGCAAACCCAAAGTACCGGCACTACAGGCATGAGCTACCTTGCCTAACTAGTAATTTTTGTCTGTTTGTTGTTGTCATTGTTGTTGTTTTTTTGAGACAGAGTCTCACCTTGTCACCCAGGCTGGAGTGCAATGGCACGATCTTGGCTCACTGTAACCTCCGCCTCCTAGGTTCAAACGGTTCTCCTGCCTCAGCCTCCTGAGTAGCTGGGATTACAGGCACCTGCCTCCACGCCTGGCTATTTTTTCTATTTTTAGTAGAGACAGGGTTTCACCATGTTGGCTAGGCTGGTCTTGAAATCCTGACCTTGTGATCCACCCACCTCTACTTCCCAAAGTGCTGGGATTATAGGCGTGAGCCACCATGCCCAGCCCCGGCTAGTAATTTTTGAATAGTGATTATAATTACAAGTAAATGTGTAACGTACGTTTGCAAAAATATTAAGTGAACTAGTCTGGGCGTGGTGGCTCACACCTGTAATCCCAGCACTTTGGGAGGCCGAGATGGGCGGATCACAAGGTCAGGAGTTCGAGACCAGCCTGGCCAACATGGTGAAACCCCATCTCTACTAAAAATACAAAAATTAGCCGGACATGGTGATGTGTGCCTGTAATCCTAGCTACTCAGGAGGCTGAAGTAGGAGAATTGCTGTCGGGAGGCAGAGGTTGCAGTGAGCCAAGATAGTGCCACTGTACTCCAGCCTGGTCAACAGAATGAGACTCCATCTCAAAATATATATATATAAAATGAACTTCCCAAAAATGTGGATTTCAGCCAAGTGCAGTAGCACACCGTGTAGTCCTAGCTATTCAGAAGGCCAAAGCCTTCACTTGATAGTGTTATTGAGAAATATAAGCCTATATTCAAGAGAGACTTTTCATTCCTTTTAAAAATGTCACTCTACTTTTATTGTTTTTATTAACTAGTGATGAGGTACATTTTGTTGTTGTTGTTTTTCTGTTTTTTTTTTTTTTTTGAGACAGAGTCTCACTCTCTTACTCGGTTGCCCAGGCTAAAGGGCAGTGGTGTGATCTCAGCTCACTGCTACCTCTGCCCCTAGGTTCAAGTGATTCTTCTGCCTCAGCCTCCCAACTACCTGGGACGACAGGCACACACTGCCACATCCAGCTAATTTTTGTATTTTTGGTATAGACGAGGTTTCACCATGTTGGCCTGACTGGTCTTGAACTCCTGAGCTCAGGTGATCCACCCGCCTCAGCCTCCCAAAGTGGTGGTATTACAGGTGTGAGCCACTATGCCTGGCCTTGATGAAGCATATCTTAAATAAGAGGTGTGGAGGTTTTTTTATTTTTTTATTTTTTTATTTTTAGAGACAGGATCTCACTCTGTGGACCAGGCTGGAATGCAGTGGCATGATAAAGCTCACTGCAGCCTCAAACTCCTGGGCTTAAGCAATCCTCCTACCTTAACCTCCTGAGTAGCTAGGTCTACAGGCACATGCCACTGTTCCCGGCTCACCTTTAAATTTTTCTAGAAACAGTGTCTCTCTGTTTCCCAAGGTAGTTCCAAACTCATAGCCTCAAGCATTCCTCCTGCTTTGGCCTCCCAAAGTACTGAGATTATAGATGTGAACCACCGTGTTCAGCCTTAAATAAGATTTTAAGACTTGAAAATAACTAAATTTCTCTCTTTCCTCTTTTATTTATAAAGTACATCATTTCTAAAATTAAGGATCCAGAATATCATCAATATGAAAAGTAATTTCACAGTTAATGGTTCATTTGAATTGTAGAACTCAGTTGCAAAGATAAAGGTAGACAGGGTGGCTGGGTGCTGTGGCTCACGCCTATAATCCTAGCACTTTGGGAGGCAGAGGTGGGTGAATTACCTGAGGTTGGGAGTTCCAGATCAGACTGACCAACATGGAGAAACTCTGTGTCTACTAAAAATACAAAGAAATAAAAAAATAAAGTAGCCGGGTGTGGTGGGACATGCCTGTAATCCCAGCTACTCAGGAGACTGAGGTGGGAGAATTGTTTGAACCTGGGAGGCAGATGTTGTGGTGAGCTGAGATCGCGCCATTGCACTCCAGCCTGGGAAACAAGAGCGAAACTCTGTCTCAAAGAAAAAAAAAAGGAGGCAGGGATGAACGAACACATTTGAAACTGGATATATTTAATAGTGATGTTGCAAGTTATGTATCTTCAGCATGATTTCTTCTACATATAAAAATACATAAGAAAGATTTTACTACGTTATAAAAATCTTATCTTAAATATCTGGGCTTTTTTTGTATTTTAGAAAGAAGAATTTTTTTTTTTTTTTTTTTTTTTTTTTTTGGCGTGGGGACGGAGTCTTGCTCTGTCGCCCAGGCTGGAGTGCAGTGGTGCGATCTCAGCTTACCACAAGCTCTGCCTCCAGGGTTCACGCCATTCTCCTGCCTCAGCCTCCCGAGTAGCTGGGACTACAGGTGCCCGCCACCATGCCCCGCTAATTTTTTTGTGTTTTTAGTAGAGACAGGGCTTCTTCGTGTTAACCAGGATGGTCTCGATCTCCTGACCTCGTGATCTGCCTGCCTTGGCCTCCCAAAGTACTGGGATTACAGGCATGAGCCACCGCGCCCAGCCAACATGTTTTATCTGATATTGTTTGTGTTCAATTATTCAGCTGATTAAAATTTAATTATTTAAAAATAATTTTAAAGTTATTTTAGATATATTTTCCTTTTAAAAGTGGGACAAAAGTACCTGGAATTCTCTGAGCATTTATTTTTTCTATGGCAGATATTTAGTGCTTTTGGTTACTTTTCATTTAACATTTATTTATTTATTTATTTATTTATTGAGAGAGTTTTGTTCTTGTTGCCCAGGCTAGAGTGCAATGGTGCGATCTTGGCTCACTGAAACTTCCATCTCCCAGGTTCAAGCGATTCTCCTGCCTCAGCCTCCTGAGTAGCTGGGATTGCAGGCATGCGCCACCATGCTTGGTTAATTTTTGTACTTTTAGTAAAGACAGGGTTTCTTCATGTTGATCAGGCTGGTCCCAAACTCTCGACCTCAGGTGATCTGCCTGCCTTGGCCTCCCAAAGTGCTGGGATTACACGTGTGACCCACTGCACTGTGCCTTCATTTAAAATTTTTAACTGTTTGTCCTTGTGGTGTTAGTAGCATCAATGGAATGAGCATGACCTTTAATGTCACACAGTCCTCGGTTTAAGCTCTGCTCCTTGCATTTACTCACTGTGACCTAGGGAAATTTAGTTAAACTCCTAGACCTATTTTTGTAACTTGTAAAATGGGAACAATAACCCAAAGTTTGTTTCATAGATTACACAATTTATAATTGACTGAATTTATCCCACATATAGTGGCTGTTCAATAAATGGTAGCTATAGTTATTATTGTTTTTGTTATGATTATAAATCCATCAGCCTGGGAAACATGGCAAAACCCCATTTCTACAGAAAAATACAAAGCTTAGCCAGGTGTGGTGGCCTGTGCCTGTAGTTCCAGCTACTCGGGAGGCTGAGGTGAGAGAATGGATTGAGTCCCGGAGTTCGAAGCTGCAGTGAATCATGATTATACCACTGCACTCTAGCCTGCTTGACAGAGGAAAGAAGATCCTGTCTGAAAAAATAATAATAAAATCAAATTAAAAACTGACTAGATGA